GAACTGAGGACCTTGAGCTTGCCAGGCAGGCATGATGCTGCTGAGCTACAACCCTGGCCCTAATATCACCACTCTTATTCAATATAATTCTGGAAAGATTAGCCAGAGCAATTAGACAAGAGAAAGAAAAGGAATAAGCATAGGAAAGGAAGAAGTTAAATTATTATTTGCAGATGACATGATACTCTGCATAGAAGACCCCAAAAGTTCCACCAAAAGACTTCTAGATTTAATGATGAAATTGAGTAGTATAACTGGATACAAAGACAACACTCAAAACTCAATAGCATTCCTCTACACAACAAACTCACTGAGAGAGAAATTAGGGAAACAGCACTTGTCACAATAGCATCTGAAGAAATAAAGTACGCAGGAATTAACCTAACAAAGGAAGTAAAAGACCTCTACATTGAAAACTACAGTTTTCTGAAAAAAGGAAATTGAAGAAGATATCAGAAAATGGAAAGATGTCCCTTGTTCTTGGGTAGGAAGAACCAATATAGTGAGATGGCCATACTTCCAGAATTGTTATATCGATTTAATGCAATCCTGATCAAAATACCAATAGCATATCTCACACTATTAGGGGAAAAAAATCCTAAAATTTATTTGGAACCAGAAGAGACCTAGTACAGCAAAGGCAATTCTAGGCAACAAAGGCAAGGCAGGGGGCATCACAATCCTTGACGTGAAATTATATCACAAAGCTACTGCAACAAAAACAGCATGTACCCACAAAAAAACCAGATGCAAGGATCAATGGAACACGTAAGATGCAGAAACAACTCTAAACACACTTAGCCACCGTATCTTTGATAAAGGAGCCAAACACCTTCACTGGAAGAACGATAGCCTTTTTAATAAGGCTATAAAAACTGGCCTTCTACATGCCAAAGATTAAAACTAGACCCATATCTTTCACCATGCACTAAATTAAAATAAAAATGGGCCAAAGATCTAAATATTAAAACAGAAACTAACTAAATCTGGTGGAATATAGAATAGGTAGAACTCTTAAAGACTTGGATGTAGACAAAGACTTTATGAACAAAACCCCAATTGCACAGGAAATAGCACAAAGAATCAACAACTGGGGTCGCATCTTATTAAAACACTTTTGCACAGCAATAGAAACCATCTACAGTTAAGGGAAGGCTCACATTATGCGAAGAAATTTTTACCAGCTGTTCCTCAAAGGACTAAAATCTAGACTATATAAAGAACTCAAAAAGTCAGATTCCCTTCCCCCAATTTAAAGACCCAACCCAAAAATGGGCATCTGAAATGAATAGACACTTCGCAGATGACGATGTAGAAACTGTGGGAGACTGTCCCATTGATTATGCCCACAGCAGGCTGTAAAGAGTTAACAGTTAACTCCAAGTTAAGAACAATTGATTTCAGTGCCTTGCAAGCTTGAGGTCCTCAGTTCAATCCCCAGTACCAAAAACAACAAAAAAAAGCAATTGGCTTATTTTAAGTGAATCTGACCAAAGCATACAGAGAACATATAGCCCATGTTAGAGTAACTCTTACCCAAATTCCATTCCCAGTCTAACACAAGAATGCTTTGTCTCTTTCACCTACTGCAGTATGTTATGTTTCTTGGCATTGTCCAGCACAGGTAACATGTGCACTTTTGTGCAGTAGGTCACAAGTGCCAGCCTGGGCTACACAGCAAGACCCTGTCTCAAAAGCCACACATACACCAGAAAAAGAAAACATGCTGGCCATCTTGGCAGCACACACCTGTGATCCCAGTTACTTGGGAGGCTGACACTAAAGGATTACAAGTTTAAGCGCAGCCTGGGCAACTTAAGGAGAACCTGTCTCAAAAGAAGGGTAAAAAAAGGCTGGGGATGTACACAGTGTTAGAGCATTTGTGAACATGATGCCCTGGGTTCAATCCCTAGTACCGCCAAAAAAAATTCACTGATAGTAAATATCACTTTTCTCATAGGTAATCAAGAGTTGGCTAGGGCCGGGGATTTAGCTCAGAGGTTTCGCCGCCTGCTGTGCAAGCGCAAGGACCCGAGTTCGATCCCCGGTACCAAAAAAAGAAAAAAGAAAAAAAAAAGAGTTGGCTGTAGATTGACAATGAGTGAAAGATGGATAATTCATTAAATATATATGTATACATCCATACACAATTAGGTATCAAAAGATGATTAGGGAACTAGAGAAAACAGTGATAGAAATTATCTTTTAAAAGAGCAGAAAAGTTCTCTTCCTGTTTATTGCCTCTTCCTAACTCTTTAGAAAGTACAACTACTGGGGCCGGGGATTTAGCTCAGTGGTTTCACTTCCTGCTGCGCAAGTGCAAGGACCCGAGTTCGATCCCCGGTACCAAAAAAAAAAAAAAAAAAGAAAGTACAACTACCGTCTCCAATATGCTGGACAAGAGTAGGCAGAAGTATCGAGAAAGCTCCTTGAGCAATCTGGGGGTGTGTTAGATTTAGAAGAGTTTTCTTGGTACTGGGAAATTCTCTTTTTAAATTTTTTGTGGTGCCTAGGATGGAACCTTGGGTGTCGTGCACAACTGCTCTCTTGTGGAGCTTTAGCCCAGGCTGGACACTGACTGCTCCTGGCTGCAGTTTGTCAGGAACACAACACAGGCTGATGCTGTGGTGCTGTGCAGTTGGTAAAAAGAGCAGGAGAAACAAGGGTCCAAAGTGTTACTTCACGCTGAACTAAGTGTAGCAGACATTGGTGTCAATGTCTGGCTGTGCAGATGTTGGCAGGAGAGGAGCTGTCTGTGGCCCATCCTTGATTTTGTAGGATGACACTAAGTGTCCAGCACCATGGGAGGGAGCATAAAATGGAAGAAAGATTAAGCTAATGGAGAAGGGCTTGTTTACAAGAAATGTGTCAATTTTCCTTTGAAAAGGAAAATAAAATCTCTTAGGATTTTGGTATTCACATCTCAGAGAACAACACAAAAGTACAGACTTATATTTGAGAATTAATGTTAACCCTGTATGTCTAGGTTGAAGTTTCTTGTATTCACCTAAAACTACAAGCCATAATTTTGTATCTTCTTTAATAAATAGTGTGTATAATGTAAAGCAGTTCTGCAAATTCTTGTGCTGCACATGGGCTGAACTTTTAGAATTTTTTTAAAGACTTGAAGCAGAAGCTGGTAATTTGTGTAAATGACAAGTGTAAAATTCTACCATAAAATGCTAAAAATATGCATTTTAATAAAACCAAGAAATGCAGCATTAAAAAAAAAAAGAATGCTTTGTGTTTTCTTTTACAAGCCTTGCTTGCATTAGCAGGCAGTATCCCTAGAAACCACATGAAGCCTCTACACTAGTCCTCTCACCCCAACTTAATGATTGTGTCACCAATAAACATCAATGGTTCTGGCTGTTCAGGGCCTTTGCATGCTTAAGCATTTGCTTGCTCAAGCACTGGTCACCCCAGTTCCCCATCTCTGGCTCTTTAATTCTGGCTCTAAGGGGTCTCTGGTAAGAGACAACAAATAAATATATGCAAAAATGTTCAACATCACTGGTCACTTGAGATATGCAAATTAAAACAATCCTATTTCACTCCAGAAAGAATGGCTATTACCATAGACCCTCAAGTTATGACTGGTCTGACATGTGAACAACTTGGGCTACAATCAGAATTTTAGTTTTTACTTACAACCAAAGTCTTGAATTACAACCTGAATGCCAGCTGCTTGTGCTTCAAGATGGTCTCAGATACAGATTTAACCCTTAAAAAGTTCTGGAAGGAACATTACAACATCTTTCCCTGTGTGGAGTTATCTAAGAAATCCTGAGCCAATGTCTAAGGACACTGAGATGTGCCTGGAAGAAAGTATGGCCAAAAATTATACAGGAGAGAGGCTTTTAAGGCTGTATAAAGGAGCCTGAGCCTTCAATTGATCAACGTGAGTTATAACCAGCCCTCGAGAACACACTGAGTTTGTAAGTCAAGGGTCACTGTATTAAGAAATCAACCAATAACAAATGGTAGCAGGGCTGTGGGGAAAAGGAATCTTCCTCCACTGTTGGTGAGAGTGTAGACTGGTGCAACCATTGTGGAGATCAGTGTGGAGATTCCTCAAAAAACTAAAACTAGAGGTTCCATTTGACCCAGCTATTCCCCTTCTTGGGAAAATAATTGAAAGTATCATACCACAGTGATATATGCTCACTCATTTTATAGCAGCTGAATTTATATTAGTTAAATCTTGGAAACAGCCTAAAGGCCCATCAACTGACAAGTGGATAAAGAAGATGTGGTTTTTTTACACAATGGAGCACTACTCTGCCAAAAGAAAGATACACTTAAGACATTTTTAGCTACACCGCCCCCCAAAAAAATTTAAATTAAAATTGGGGCTGGGGATTTAGCTCAGTGGTTCTAGCTCCTGTCTTGTAAGTGCAAGGTCCCGAGTTCGATCCCCAGTACCAAAAAAAAAAAGTTTAAATTAGCTAAATAGATGGACCTTGAGACCATACTGTTAAGTGGAATAAACTGGACACACGTTTAAATACTGTGGTGTTTCTCTGGTGTGACAACCTGAAACTTTAAGTAAGGACCAAAATTTATAATACATGTTGGGAAATAGGAAGAAAATGTTCTGATGAGAAGGCGAATGAGGGAGGGAGGTGGGAGAAAGGACAAGAAAAAAAAGGAAAAAAGGGAAACAGCCTTAATAAGGAGGGGAGAATGGGTCAAAGGGAGGGGAGAGGAATGGGAAAAAAGAAGCAGCAAGATATATCATGTACAGGTACAAATACCCTATGATGAATGTTATCATTATGCATATCTAAAATGTACCAATAAGTGAATGAAATAATTTTTCTATGTAGAAATATTAAAAATGAATGCAACAAAAGGGTGGCTCTATCACCTAGTAATAGGGAAGAGAGAGGGCCTGCTGGCCCATGATTCTGCACAGCAGACTGACACAGGGATGGAGGTGAACCCAGACCTTCACAGATAACACGCACCCTATAAACCAGTACAATAATAGCACTCACTAGGCAGGACCATGCTCTGGTAATCCTTGTGCGAACTCTCCCTGTGGAAGTCCCTCTGAGCTGCATCCAGATGCTCCCACTCTTCCCAGGTTACAGACACAGCCTCTAAGGTCACCAATCCCTGGAACAACATGAGATTCCCATTCAGTTCCTGCTATTCCTGGACAGCACTACCACTCACTTGTCTGAGGATTTGGCAGACTCAAGAGGTAAAGAGGAGGCACTGAAAATCACGAACCATGGCTGCACCATCCTTGCTAACAATTTTTGTACTTACTGGGGAACTCTGAAGGGACCAAAGAGAGGAGTGAACAACAGTCTTGTAACTCTGAACAGCTTTTCTGTGGACTATCTACACTGATTTGAGGAGCAAAATATTAGTTAAATCTCTGATTTACCAAAATGGAAAGATATAGAAGAAAAACATACAACCAGAAAGTTCCACATTCCAGTGCTGGCTCCCTGAAATGCTGTTTCCTCATAAGCGAGACAGACCTAAACATCTGAAAGAATGGGCACTTTACCAATAGCAGGTGCTCAGAAAAACTTTCTTTCCTTTCCCAGGACCATTTCACAGTAAGATAATTATCCAACCCGATGGTCTTTTGAGTTGGGGGCATAGTGGTGTATAGCTGTAATCCTGTCACTCTGGGAGACTTTCCTAAGTCAAAAGCTGAAACCCAGCCTGAGCTACTTTTGTAAGACCCAAACAAAAGAAAAAAAAAGAAAGCCAGGTGTGATGGCGCATGCCTGTAATCATAGCACTCAGGAGGCTGATGTAGGAGGGATTGCCTCAAGTTCAAGGCAAGCCTGGGGTACACAGAGTGTTCAAGGACAGTTTGGAATACATACCCTGTCTCAAAAAATCAAAAAAATAAAAGGGGCGGGGGAGCTTGGGATGTAGCTCAGGGCAAAGGCGCTGCATTTCAATCTTCAGTACCACCACCACCACCACCAAAAAAAAAAAAAAAGCAGCTGACTACTCACAGACGTGAAAGCCATAATCCTTAGAAAGGGAAGGTTCTAAATTGGTGAGGGAGATGTTTGTCAGTGAGCTGTTTCCAGTGAGGATCACAAACTCTTACTTACTGTGTCTACATGTATATTTACAGGTCAGGTAGCCTCTATCTGATATGCTTGGGACAGATTTTGGAGCTGTTCAGATTTGGGAATATTTACCCAGACTTTACTGGTTGAGCATTTCTAAACCAAAACCCCAGACTCTGAACTATTCCAAAATCTGAAAATTAAAATATTTTCTTTGGACATAGGGTCTCACTGAATTGCCCAACTGGCAGTGAATTTGAAATCCTCCCGCCTCAAACTTTTTGAGTGACAGCCCTGCATAACAAAGAGTTACTGGCCCAAGTGACCATAGTGCTGATGCAGAGAAACTGTCTTTGAACATGGCTGAAATATGAAATGGCCATCTGTTGTTCAAGCCCAACCTGGGAAACTGAGCAAGACCCCATCTCAAAAGAAAAATTTCAAAAAGGACTGGGGATGTACCTCAGTGTAGCTCATACTATATCACTAAATGTGTATGTGATTCTCAATTTATGCAAGGTATGTTTGTGATAACTAAAACTACTTAGTTCTGGCTTTGGTCAAGCAGCAGCAAAGTGGGATTCAATCCCCAGTACTACCACTACCACCACCACCCACACACAAAAGATATGGTTGCTGGAAACCGGATCTTCTAACTCCCAGATCAGCACTCTTCTGTTTTAAATAACTGTTTAACTAAATCTCTCTGCACCTCACATTCATTTTTGTGGTTTTTTTTTTTGGTACCGCGGATCAAACTCTGGACCTTGCATTTTCAAGGCAGGCAGTGGAACCACTGAGCTAAATCCCCAGCCCTCATATTCATTTTTAAAACAGGAGGGGATGACATCACTATGGTATTTTTTCAGCTACAAGATGGTGTCTTAAATTGCTACACAAGGCCATATGCTAATGCCAAATATTAACGACGTTTGGTTTATATGCACCGCTGCTCACTTTCACTCTTGTAGCTGCTGATCCCAAAGATATTCTTCTCTTCTCACCTTTAAAACCAAATTTGGAGAAGTCTGAACAGCTGTTGAATGGTGCTAATACCTATATAGTAACGTCCTTTTTTAATTTTCAGTGGAGGCATTATATGGAATTACATGTAGAAGTATGTACATTAGTGTAAAGCTTGACTTAGGGCAATGAACCAAGGTCGCACATTTCTGCTAATGTCATAATACCATATCACTAAATATGTATGTGATTCTCAACTTCTGCAAGGTATGTTTGTGATGACTAAAACTAGTTAGCTTTGGCTTTGGTCAAGCAGCAGCAAAGTGGGATAAAATGACAAGTACCACAAAGCACAAAATTAGGTACAGTGGCTGTCTTTCACTGAAGTAACCCTTAGGTAAAGTCCAATAGTAAACCGGGCTTGGTGGCACAAGCCTGCAAACCCAGCACTCTGTGAGGTGGAAGAGATCACAAGTTTGAGCCTAGCCTGGGCAATTTAGCAACTTGAGTCCCTGGCTCAAAATAAAAATATAAAAAAGGGCTGGGGATGTAACGCATTGACAGAGCCTTGGGTTCAATCCCCAATATCTAAAACAAAATTTAAAATTCAACAGTATTCTATGAATTATAATTATATTGAATCTGCTTTTGCTGAAAGGCCACCACAAACTCACCATGGGAACATAAAATGATTGGAGATTGAAAAATTAAATGCATCAATGTGTAGGCCCGGGGCCTTAGCTCAGTGATTCCTCGCAAGCGCAAGGTCCCGAGTTCGATCCCCAGTACCAAAAAAAAAAAAAAGCATCAATGTGGAAAGGGGAGCCGGTCAGCATACAGTTAAAAAACAAATAGGGGCCTTCACATTCAAAATGGTGAGAAACAGCTGTTCTAGCATGAGTAAATTAAGGACCTGAAGCTGCTTTGCGTCCTGACGTCGCGAACAGCCCACTAAAGGAGAAAACGAGTGTGCTGCAAATAGTGACAGTAATAGGTGCTTAAGACTAAGGTCTTACTAGCCAATTTCCTAAGGAAAGAAACGAACGTTCAAGTGCATCCTGAGGTTCACAGCAAACGTGATAAGGGAGGAAAGAAGAGAAGGAAACTCGCTCCTTAGCTCTCGAATCTGGCTACACGCCCACCACCCAGCACAGCAATCTCTCCTCACCTGGGGCGCGGCCCGGGCCGGTGAGGCCTCCTCCCCGCTCTCCGGGTAGTGTCCCCGTACCCAGGCCTGCAGCTCCCCAGGAAGAATGCTCAGGAACTGCTCCAGCACCACCAACTCCAGGATCTGCTCCTTGGAGTGCAGCTCGGGCCTCAGCCACCGCCTACAGAGCTCCCTAAGCCGGCTCAGCGCGTCTTCTGGTCCAGCCACCTCGCGGTAGCTCAGCTGCCGGAACTGCCGCCGAGAGCTTTCGGGATCCGCGCAGGCCCCGGGCGCGTCTGACTGCAGAACCCCGCGCGAGTCTTCCTCCACTTTCACCACAACTTCCTCCGGCGGGAGCGGCGCGGCGACCCCGGAGCTCGCAGCCATCTGCGTGCGCTTTGGGAGGTCAGGATCCAGGACGAGTTTTTTCCGGAATCTGCCGACTTCCTCCAACTGTCGGCTTCTGGTGAGAGGAGCTGATGTGGAACTGAGAGGCCAGCCCCGTGGCAGGCTCTCATAGACGGACCCCAACCGCCCCCGCCCCCCGAAGCGCTCACCCTTCTGAAGGTATCCGGGCCGGAATCGGCTAGCTCCACTAGAGAGAAAAGAAAACAAACACCCCAGGCCGGAAGTGCGTCACGGAGCCGCGGTGCCCCTCCTTCCCACTTCCGGGCCGCCTCTCACTCGAGAGGACTGAGTTGACTGAGCGAGGACAGGTGGTGGTAGGGATGTAGGAAGGCTTAAGATGCGTAGCCGGGCGTGGTGGTACACACCTGTAATTCCAGCACTCGGGAGGTTGAGGCACGAGGATCGTCACGAGTTCGAGCCCAGCCTGCCCTAAAAAGTGAGTTCAAAGCCAGCCTGAACTGCGTAGTGAGACCCTGTCCCCCAAAAACAAAGAACCAAAAAACCCCCGATGCATTACGTAGGTAAGTGCACCAACAACCCACCATGAGTCCAGTCATTATATACGATCATTATATATTGCAAGCATATACTAATAAAACAAAAAGAAACGGCAGGCATCTTGGTGGTTTGCTGTCCTCACCCGGGGTTGGGGCTGGAGGTGGAGATAGGCGGGGCCTAGGCTGCTTCCTACCATTCAGTAACATAACGGGAAACCCAGGAGCCGAGCGCTGGAACAGGGAACCTTAAGGATAGGGAGAAAACAAAGAGAATTTAAAGAGCTTCCTTGTATGTCAGATGTTATGGCTTTGATCCTAACAACCATTAGAAAACTGCACGGGTTCGTGTGCGCCTGTAATTCCAGCACTCTGGAAGCCTGAGGCAGGAGGATCTCAAGTTCTGGCCCAGCCTGTGCAGTTTAGTGGTTGGGTGAGAACTTGTTTCCAAAAAAAAAGGTTTTTTTTTTTAAGGGCTGGAGCTGTAGCTCTGTAAAAGCCCTAGGTTCAATACTCACCACTGGAGGGGGGGGAAAAAAAGAAAGAAAAAGAGGAAAGAAGGAAGGAAAAGAGGTTAGAAGAATATGTCTTGCCTGATGTTAAGCAACTGGTGACTTGAATACAACCAAATGTGCTGTTCACATTCCAAACTCAGGAATTTCTACTGCTATAAGTTCATTTTTTGCCACCCCTAAGCTGCCTGGTTAGTTCCTTCAGTCATTCAAGAAGCATATGTGACCAGCTACTGTGCTTTTTGCTCCCAGGAAAGTTCAAGTCCACTTTGATGTGTTGGCTATGGTACAATAGTGCCTGTTTGTGAGCGTATGTGCAGTATTAAAATATTCGCCCCCCCCCATTTTTCTTTTCTAAAACTGAATCCTAGGGTCTTGTGGATGCTTGGCAAGTGCTCTACCACTGAGATACATTCCCAGCCCATGAATAAAATACTCTTAAAAAGATTTGACTTTGGGTTATGCAGCTAACCCAGTGTTCACTTTCCTCTTCCTGCAAATTCAGAGTTAGAAGAAGAAAGATGATTTTTCCAGTTCTTCCAATCTCAAAAGGATGTAAGTATGGTATGAACTTGTCTAAATGAAGAAAACAAAGGATGTTTTTCCCACTGCTTCCAAGGGCTAGGTTAACCCACAATACTGACTTATTGATAGATGAATTTTTAAATGCCTGAGATCAGTTCCCTTGTGCAATGGTCAGCACAAATATTAGCAACTGATATTTTACTCGAGACGCTAAAGTTCAGTATGATTTGCAGAGAAAAATCTTCAGTAATTTTTTTTTTTGGTATAGGGGATCAAACTTGGGTCCTTGTGCTTGTGGGGCAGGCGGCAGAACCACTGAGCTAAATCCCCAGCTTCGGTAATTAACAAATAATAGGCAACATTATTTTTAAAATGCTAGAGAGATCATGGCTTATAGAGAATTTCCTAGTGAGACTTTTGTACTGGGTCCTGTGGCACACAGAATATCCCAGTACAAATCCCAGCCATCTAGGAGCTGAGTAAGGAGGATACCAAGTTCCAGACCAGCCTGGGTAACTTAGTGAGAACTTGTCAGAAAATAAAAGCAGTTGAGGATGTAGCTAGGTGGTACAGCACTTACCTAGCACTTGGGAGGCTCTGGGTTCAATCCACACCACCACCAGCGGAAAAAAAGTTTTTGTGATTAAAAAAGTTTTCAATACATAATAATGGTAATAATTAACATTTGCTGGGTGCTCACTGTGGGCCAGAATTATGCCAACTGCTTTACAATTTTATGACATATGTAATCCTCACAATTACCAGTTGAGGTAGATACTGTTTCATCCATCCTTTTCCAATACAGTCCTAAATTATAATTCTTGTACCATGAAGACAATTTCGTTTTCTATTTTGTGGTGCTGGAATCAAACCCAGTGCCTTGTGCATGCAAAGAACATGCTGTACAACTGACCTGCATCCCTAGCCCTCCATGAAGACAATTTTAATTTAACACATAGCTATTTTTAGCATATGTGCTGCTGAAGCAAACACAGACACATAGCTATTTTTATTGGATGCTTTTCTACATTTTAACAGTGGAAATAAATTTTTAAAACTTACTATAAAACTAGACTTTTATATATTTTCTCCCCCATTTAATTAGGCAGATATCCCAATAATCTATCATGGTATGAAGTGTGAACAGAGCATAAAGTGAATGTTTAAATTTTAAAAACTTATTACACTGAAAGACATATTGTTATTAGCACTCCTCAAAATAGAGATTCCCCCTCACTTGAAACACATTCCATCATTCTTGGCAATGTGTAATAAGGTTTTTTAAACTTAAACATTCACCAAAATTTTCAATCACCCCTTGTATCTTTTCTTCATATCTACTGTGCTCACACATTTTATTCTTACTAGAATTCTCTCCCATTCAACAAGTCAAACAAGCATATGCCTTTTCTTTTCCAGAGATGAATTAAAAAATATCAGAGCTCTATGTACCTCTCTGGGGACATTAACAATGGTCCTTTTCCAAGGAGAGGGGCCATATATATTGTGATACCAGTTGGCTTATAGACCGGCTTCCTGCCCCTTCCCTTGCCTCTTCATGGTGTAAATGACAAGCTTTCTGATGAGAGTGTTGGTTTATCTGTATATCGAACTGTCCTTGCTCAGTGCTGTGCCAGGCTGCTGAGCAATGCAGGGTGAGGGTGGAGGCTGTACAAAAACAGGCTTCTAAATCATGACCTTCAACTTCACTGGTTCCCTGCTTTGTCTCTTTCTAAGTTTGGCTCTTTTTTGTATTTATTTTTTCAGCAGCTATATGAAAGTGTTTTTATCACTGTATTAAACAATGATTCAAATATATGTATGATGTGCTGTGAGTTTTTCATGAATATGTACAGTACCTCTCTTAACAGCCTGCTGTGGTGGCACATACCTATAATCCCAAAGCTCAGGAGGCTGAGGTGAGAGGATTGTCATGAGTTCAGGCTGGCCTGAACTACAAAGTGAGACCCTGTCTCAGAAAGGGGGGGGCTGGGGATGTAACTTAGTGGCACAGTGCCTGCCTGGTGAGCACAAGGTCCTCAGTTCGATCCCTGTACCGGAAAAGAAAAAAAAAGAGAACAAATAAAAGAAAGAGAGAAAAAGAAAAAGAAAACATGTTTAGAGCTGGTAGAGACAGCACATGTATGTAATCCCAGCAATCTCAGAGGCAAGAAGATCTCAAGTTCAAGGGCAACATTGGGACTTACCGAGGTCCTGACGTCAAAATAAATTTTTTTTTTTCTGAGACAGGGTCTCACTATTTAGTTCAGGCTGGTCTCGAACTTGTAGTAATCCTCCTGCCTCAGCCTCCCAAGTACTGGGATCACAGGCGTGCACCCTCATGCCTGGCAAAAACATTTTTTTTGAGACAGTGTCTCCCTATGTAGCACAGGCTGGCTTTGAACTTTCGACAATCCTCCTGACTCAGCCTGCCAGTTACTGGGATTACAAACATGCACCACCATACCCGGCACCAAAAATAAAATTAAAAAAGGGCTGCTGATGTAGCTCAGTGCAGAGGCCTTGGGTTCATTCCCCAGTATTGCAAAAACAAATAAACAAAAAACACATCTAGAGAGGCCCGGGGATTTAGCTCAGTGGTTCCGCCGCCTGCCACACAAGTACAAGGTCCTGAGTTCTATCCCTGGTACCAAAAAACAAAACAAAACACATCTAGAGATATGATCAATGATCTAGTAATAAACATTGCTTATGTGAGGGAAACCCTAGGTTGGTACCTTTTTTTTTTTTTTTTTTTTGGTACCTGGGATCAAACTCAGGACCTTGCACTGGCAAGGCAGGCGGCGGAACCACTGAGCTAAATCCCTGGCCCCAGTACCTTATTTTTCATTTCATATCCATTTATGCTATTTGAATTTTTACTGTGTACACATACGAACCTTTTAAAGCCACAGTTCTCCACTGCAATGCATTAAAACCACTACAGCATCACCTGCTGCACCTCCTACTTACTCCACTATCTGCTGAATCACCCACTCTCAACAGGGAACCTTCCTATTTCTCAGAAAGTGAAAGCTATCCAGTCAAGAGCTCCCCGAATGTCTTACAGCCCCCTTTTAATGGAGCATAATGCCTATTTTGTGTTAAAGGTGTATTGTATTACACACCCATGGTTATTTAGAATATTTCTGTTGATCAATTATTAAATTTAATTTTATGAGTTTTATTATATTAAACAATGAGTACTTAATAGGAAAAATATTTTTAATTTTTATTTTTGACTTTTTAATATTTATTGAGTGTCTATAAAAAGCATCAAAATTTCCAACATTGACTTTTTTGGGGTACAAAAATAACAACAGAAACAAATTCCTATAGGAACTACAATGAAAATACCAATAGAATTCTACAACAAAAATAATCTTTTCTTTGATTATCACACCTAAGACAATCTTCACACATGACAACAGCGCATTCCATACACACGTATCACTTAGACTGATAGTGCATATGTTTTGCTTTCCTGTCTTTTTTGTAAGACATACTTAACATCTTTCTGGTCTTGCTGTTTTGTCAGGAGGTTCTTAGTATATTATACCATGTGTATGTAAAAGGAACATAATCTACCAATAAAAGAAAGTATTAAATTCTTAATATATATTGCACGTTTAGAATAAACATCAGTGTTTTCCCATCAGCTGTGTACGTGCTTACAAAACCTAAAAGATAACATCAGAAATAACATTCTATATGAACTACAATGAAAATATCAAGAGAACTCTACAAGCAAATTAATCTTTGCTTTAATTGTCACACCCAAAGAAGTTTTCACACATGACAACTGCATGTTCCACACACATGTCTCACACTGACAGCACATGTGCTTAGTTTTCCTTTCCTGTGTGGCAGTCTTGTCACCTCCCTTGTTTTCTGCTTTTGTCAGGAGCTTCCTACTGTATTGTACAATGTGCACTTAGAAAAATAAAATATTGATAAAATATCAAATATGTAATATAATGTGTGCGTAGAAGTGACATCAACATTTCACATCAGCTGTGTACTTGCTTACAAAACCTAAAAGATGACATCAGAAATAAAAACCTATGTAGGGCCAGGGATTTAGCTCAGTGGTTCTGCCGCCTGCCTCGCAAGTGCAAGGACCCGAGTTCGATCCCCAGTACCAAAATAAAATAAAAACCTATGTGAACTATAATGTAAATACAAACAAAAGTCTACCACAGGATCAGGGATATAGCTCAGTGCCTGGCAAGCACAAGGTCCTGAGTTTGATTCCCAGTATCAAAAAAGAAAAAAAAGTCTACCACAAAAATAATCTTTGCTTCAACTGTCACACCAAAGGCAGTCTTCACACATAACAACTACATGTTCCATGCACAAGTATCACTTACACTGATAGCATG